GGTCAAAAGCCTTGGGGATTATAATTTAATGTTAGCTTCTTGAGCTAACTTTTCTTCAATAGAAGTTAATCTAGAGGTTTCAATTTCAGTATTATTTTGTTGTAATCCTCAATCTTTCACTATAGTTCCTCAACTTGTTTCTTCCAATTTGCAATCTCTTTGTTGTAGGCCTTAATTTTCTCTTTATTCTTTTTAGCTTGTGCCTCCAAATCATCAACTCTATGTTGATACTAAGAAACTAGGTTCCATTGTTAGGACATAGCATTGTTCTTTTGCCTAAGCAGGCTCACAAACTCTTTCTTCCTGTTTATATTTGAGCGATTTGGTCGAGAAATGATTCAAACTCTAATATGAAATCAACAATGGGATCAGGAAAATCTTGCACTAAACTGCTTCAACAAAACCTTGATGTTAGATACAACAAAGGGATTTTTTCTGATGGTTTTGAATAGGTCTACTTCAAAAACCTTGGCTTTCAATTGTTGAACCAACAGAGTAACACAGTTACCATGGAGCTCACTGCTTAAAACGATTAAAGAGCTTGGAGATTTTTCAACAGAGCCAATACCTCGATTGCTCATAAGCTTCCTTAAAGCCTCTATAGGATTTCTCTCTTTTATAACTTTTAGTTACTCATGGCTAATAGAAGTGTTAGAGGTTTCAGATGAAGAATCTCTAATTAGAGGATGAACAATAGTAACTATAGTAAAAAAAAGGAATCTCAATGGTTTCTAATGAACCTTGTGAAGTTTAAACAACTTCTGATTGTTCTTCTTTGATCAGAGTAACTTGAGGTTCTCTTTGATATTGGTCCTCTTGTATCTGATCAACGTGATTTTGGCTCTCTTTTATTTGAGAATTATCATATGGACTAGGCGATTATTGTTAAGGATTTTGATTTTTGATTGCATCCTCAAATTTCTCAACAACTGTCTCCCGACTGGATTTTTAGATGCTAGTTGTTATGATGGAAATTTTGTTAGAGGATGATTAGACGTCAAAACCTCATCAACCTCTGAAGCAATGTTTATTGGAGGAGGAGTAACATGATTTAGAGTTTCCTATAAGAACGAATAAGTGGAATAATGTTAAAAAATTGTTTGATGTGTATTGAAAAGGATATATGAATGTGACTCAAACTACCCTGGACACCTCATGGCTGAGACTCAAAGTCTCACTCTTTGAGTTTTCATCAAGAGTAGGCTGCTTTTGTTAAACTGTTATCTTTCAATGTAGCTGAATGAGGTTTTATTCTTCTTCATCATCATAAACAACCAATTTTCTTCTTGGTTGTTTTGGGGTGGCATCAACTGGCCTGCTAGCCTCTGGAGCATTTTCTTGGACTTTCTTCTTTTTGTCTTACCGATGTTCTAATTTCTCTAAAGCTTCCTTATGTTCACTCAAATTCTTAGGACATTTAACTTCAGGGGAGGATTCTTCGTTTCCCTCAAAATTGTCACTTCATTACTCCCTTTGACTTCTTTATCTTCTTCATCGATACTTTGGTTAGATTGAAATGTTTAACATTATTAGCACAATGGATATTTAAGCTTAAAGAGATAGAAAGTTTTAATACGAGTTGAAATTTAGGTTAAACCCGAGTCCCCTCACTGTCGAGAGTGACAATTAGTGTTTTTTTTCTTCGATTTAAGGTGGCAATAGTGATACTCCCCTTTTTTTGACTCTGGAATGCAAGAGTAAGGGATAAATAAAAGGTAGAGGATTGAACATAAAGAGAGAAAATATTTAGAAAATGTACTTGTTTCGACTCTTTTAGTTGGCCAAGTATTGGTCCAAATTTTTCATCATTGTCTTTAGCTTCATTGATTTTATTCTTCTTTGACCCTTTCGAGGGAATGAGAGCTCGAGCTACAAAAATTGACACAGATAAATAGTGTGAAATAAAAAAGGAGCTAATGAGTTTCAAGAGCCTCATTATTTCACCTTCTATGATGGTGGATATGACCCTGACATGTTTGAGATTGACTCTTAAAGGCCATGGACAATTATGTATATGATAGTTAGTATAAGTTACTCTCTGGGAAGGCTTTTTCAACTCATTTATTAGGTCTAACAAAGACCTAAAATAACATTATTTTGGAAGTTACAAATGGAAAGCTAAGCCAAGTTCACAAGTTGGTAATCGTGAAAGTTTGGGAAGATGAAATTTCAAAGCAAACTCATATCTATCTTTTACGTAAAAAGGAAAATTAAATTTTAAATTTTTTCCAATAATTTGTTGTTTAAAAGAAAAAGCCTATTGATAAATAGTGTGACTAAGTCAATAAAAATTATACACAATTTCAAAATAATTTTGAAAAGCTCGAATCTCCTTAATGTGTGTACCTCGACTTTTCTTGGTTTGTTTCGGTAGAGAGGAAAAAACATTAGTTACATGTTGAAGCATAGTTGATTGATCTATAATAACACTGTGGTAATGTTCAACCAACCACTCTTTGAATTCCTTAGTGCAGAAAAAAGAAGCTTCAAAATAGAAGGGGCTTAGGCCAATGAATTTTTGAGGGTGAAATCCTAAATACACATTGTAGTTTCTATCTGTCAATGTTGTATTAAACAACCAAACCTCTGGTTCCTTGGCAAAAAGTGATCCTAGCAAGAATTGGCTGAAGTCGAATTGCCTTGCAACCAAGTTTGACTGGTATCCAACAAGCCCAAGTCCATCCTTCCCAATTGAAATTCTAGTTAACAAGACAATGGGTTTGAAGAAAGCTACCCAGATATCGAGAGCTTTCAATTGACTCTCAGCCAAAGAAGTTGGGAATTCTCTTCTGAACCAATATGATCAGTAACTTCATTTGACGAAATGGGCCATAGACGAAATGAATTAAGTTCAAGTTATACACATGTAGAAGTATCATTTTTGAAAGCTTTTTCAATTAATAATTTTTCATCCTCTGGAGCCAACAAAGCGAGTTTTGTGCCTCCAACTTGTCTTTCCATGTCAAGTGGAACATCAACATTTAGAGAAGGCCCCAAGTAGCATTAAGCCAAAGCTGAAGGAGCCATAAAGGGCCAAAAATCAAGAAAATTTCGTCTGGACTGACTCGTGCTTTAAGGGCAAGAAAGACATCTATTAAGGATTCATAAAGGCAATCCAAGATCAGTTTGCTGAGACAAATATCCCGCTGCTCATGCAGTCGGATTGCTAGTGATATGAATGTTTTAGATACTTAGATAGAGCTGGAACAAAAAAGTAGTGAGATAACTAGAGGGTAAGGAAAACAATGTGCTCATAGTCAGAGACTTCCCCGATTTCTTCATGGTGATCTTTAATATAGGCATTGAAACTAGCATGGTTGAAGGTAAAGCTAGGTTTGGTTTTGTTCTTGATTAAAGGGTCGAAGATTTCCCCTGTTGGTCGAAGACCAGTAATAACAACGACAACGAAAAAAGTGGAAGTTACCATACCACATGGAAGCTGAAGGGTATATTGGTGGAAGATTCCCAAAAACAGATTGTAGCTGAATCAAGTCGAAAATGCCTTGATTTTTCCAAGTTCTTCCTTTCTTTTTCTTTACTTTGTCTAGCCAGCTGATGTAAGGTTCACTATTGATTGAAGGAGAATAACGAAAAACATGATAGGGTTGTTCCACGAACCCTAACTTAAAATGTTTATCCTCAAATGCACAAGATTTACAATAAGGTAAACCAAGGAACAAATATGAATGTTCCAGAGGCATTTTCAATGCCAAAGGTAGTCATGATGACAATGGTAGATGCATAGTGGTTTGAATAGTGATGTGAGTTTACTAAAAAAACGTCACCTTTCTGCCATATTGTTGTAATATCGAAACTAACCTTTTTTAGGGGACATTTGTTAGCCTGAGATTTTCTACTCAATATTTCAACATGAATATCGAATATGAGATGTACATAAATGCTAAGTGTAAATAACTAAGTTATGTTTTCGACACCAAGTGGACTTTTCACAAATTCAACTAATGGGCTTTTCGATATATGTGATTAGGTAACTTGAAGACGTTATTAACATCGATAATGGTTCAAAGCAATTCAAAAACCAAAGACACATGAAAACACATTAGAAGGCAAAAACTCACGTAGCAAAATACATGTCGAATTCTGGAGAGATAGTTGTTGTTGACCGTTAATGATGTACATAGTATATAAGTAGATTTCAATTATGTAATTGGCTTTCACATTTCATTATTTCTTCTTTAGAATTCACACATCCGAGTCACAAAGATGAATAATTTGTGAGAAATGTGTGAACTTGCGTCTCACTCTTAATTCAAACATTTTTATCCAATTATTTTACTATTTTTTCTATATTTACTTTATCTATTTAAGCATTTTTTGCATTTACTTTCTTGAATCTTTATATTGATTTTTTTTAACATTAATACATTTTCTCAAACGTCTAACATAATAATTAAAGTGTTTTTTAGAATTTTTCGAATTTGATCGTGAGAGAAGTAAAACTTGCATAACCATTAAACTCATCTTAAATCATTGTAATAATTTTTTTTATAAATATTAATCTTTTATAAATTATAATATAACACATATACATCTAGATTATAAATTTTTTACACCATTTAGTACAATCCTTCATAAATCATAACTCAAAATTTCTAATTTTTATAATACAATAATAAATATTACTTTGAGATTAATTATTATGCATTGTCAAAATAAAATGTTTTACACTGTTAATTTATCACCGTTATTCGTTTGCATTATCTTATTGGTGATTAAAATAAAAGTCAAACTTTTTTCAATATCCAACATTTATAATTAATTGACATTATCCCTAATTTAAAATAAAAATGAAATTTTTTTAAAATTTTAACCCATTTATTGAATGTATAAAATATATTTTTATCAATCAAATTAGATTAAATTAATTTTTTCTTCAGACAATTTATGCTTATATAATATAAGACGCAAAGACAAGGAAGATGAATGAAACAGAATAGATTCAGAAATGATCTTTCGAGTGTGACAGTCACTCAATACTCATGGAACCCTCCTCTCCCCCGTCTCCTCCGATCGCCGACAATACCGATCCCGAGCGCCGCCTTCGCGAAGCGGAGGAGCGTCTCCGAGACGCTATCGAGGAGCTTCAACGCCGCCAACGACGCGCCGCTGCTCATGCTTACCACAACTTCCATCAACATAACAACCTTGAGTCCCCGCCCTGCAGTCACGGTCCCGATGAGTCCTGCATCGCACACGCCATTGGCAACCTCTGTCAGACTTTCCTTCTCTCATACGGCGTCAGAGTCGGTATCGGGATTCTCCTCCGCGCCTTCAAGCTTGCTCGAAGGCAATCCTACTCCTCTCTCCTTGATCTCAAGGTTTGTGATTGATCAACCTTAATATTGAACATTACATTAGGGTTCTAATTTTCTGATTATCGATGTTTATTGAATATTTAATTAGTTCAAATTCTAGCATGTGTTTGACTTTGGGAATGTATGTTTAACGGAAATTCAGATAACTTTTGTTTTAGTTAGATCATGTTTGGACTGAATAACGAGGAGACACCGAAATTTGAAGCTGGTTTTAAAATAATTTTGCTTTCAAATTTATTTATTTGTATATATTCTAGTTAAATTGATTCCAAAGCAGGATCTTATCGAGTTTAATTCAATTTATTCTGGTTAGTATTATCCTGTGAATTGGTATTATGGATTTTGCTTGAAACGATTCGCTATTGTTTATGTTTTACATTTTTTTTTTGCTTTTATACTTGTTTGCAGCAACTTGTTTCTGAAAAAGACCTAATAGTCAGGGAAGAAGCATGTCGTATTGGTTTACTTTTTGGTGGTTTCACCGGATCTTATCATGCTCTTAGATGCTTGTTTAGAAAGTTGAGAAAAAAAGAGACTGCGATGAACGCGTAAGTTACTATACTAACGCTTCTTGATTTACATGCTCTTGAATAACTTTCCTTTTTGTTTTTTGTTTTGCTGTATATAAAGGCTTCTATATTGTTTTGTGTTGTTGTTTGCATGTGTTGCTTATTTATAACTCTGTTTAAGGGGATGATGGAGCAGAATTTTAGCAGGTTCAGTTGCTGGTTTCTCAATTCTGGCACTAAATGATTCGAATAGGAGGCGCACACTGGCTTTATATCTATTAGCTAGGCTAGCCCAGGTATTTGAAAATGAATCTCTGGAAGGGTCTCTGAACAATCCGATACAAATATATAAACATTTTTAGCTTTATGAACATAATTGGCATCCACAAGGCTAATACATATTTATACATCAGTGTGCTTATAATTCTGCGAAATCTAAGGACAAATTTCACCTTTGGGGAAGTCATTGGAGACATGGAGATTCTTTGCTGTTTTCCCTTGCTTGTGCACAGGTATTCAAATTTCATTTGCCTTTTCATGCTAGGATTTATTCTTAACTTATCATCCTGGTAATTTTTAAGTGTCAAATAATTGATAATCTGACATCAGTAGAGCGGCCACAAATTCATGGGAAGTTTTTTTTGAATAGAAGGGATGTTGTTTGTCTGGTAACAAACATGAGTTGTTTCGAATAGCTCAAATGGGAAGTGAAAATAGTAAAATTTAAAAAGTAATTAGGTATCACAGATGAGTTATTGGATGCTATTGAAGCAAATGGGATTCTAGATAAACTAAATCGGATGCTATGAAAAAATGGATCAAATTAGAGATGATGCAATTAATAAGATAGTGGAAAATTGAAGAAACTCTAGGAGAAACCCTTAAAAAGGAACTCTAATACAATCGAAGCCCCAACAAATGACCAGAGAAAAGAAGTATTAAGTGGATTTGTGCAAGTGCAAGAGCTTTTTGAAAATCAATCGACAAAGTGCAATAAAACCGGAGCACTAAAAGATTATCATATCATGATCCAAGTCTTAGACCATAAAAGTTGACATTACTTTCCTTTGGCTTATTATGTAGGATATTTTCCAGATTTTATTAGGGCTTTATTTGCATATATTATTCTATTTTTACTATTTTGATTAAGGTTTGTACATTTTTATCCAGAGTTTTATTCTCTCAAGATTTGGTCATATTTTGCTAGTTTGCTATTATTACCTATATAGCACAGACACTTCGGGTTAAAAATGTGTCGGGTGTCTGAAACGTTTCAACATCTGACAATGACACATGTGTTAGATTCAATGACTTTCTTTTTCTTAAATTATCACTTATACTTATGTGCTAATGTCATCTCTGTGTTTATGTCAGTGTCGTGGTCCGTATTTGTGTCAGGGCTTCTTAAATTATTCCAGGATTTCGTGTTTGGACAAATAATTAGGATTTGGCTTAAATTTCTTAGTTTCCTTTTTATCAGTTAGAATTCTAACAAATCATGTAAATGTAAATTTTATCATACAAAGGTGAAACTTGTGTTCTTTCAACTTATCAAGTAGATAATTCTAACAATTGAAACTTGTGCTCTTTCAACGCATCAAGTAGATAATTCTAACAATTATGTTCTTTCAAATAATTCTAATGCTTCCAATTCATTTAATTGTGTCCTTTCAACTTATCAAGTTGATAATTCTATATAGTTAATAGTTGTGTCATCAATTATCTAGTCCCGTACGAAGGTTCTTTCTTTCTTAAACAAATAGTTGTAGTTTTTCTTAACCCGATTTTGAGGATCTTTGGACTTTATGCATATTGTGGGTTCTGAGGTCAAATAAAGCCCTATAGCTGATTCCACCTAATGAGATATGATTTGGTTCTTGTAGAAAGGAATAAAAAAGAGTTATATGTAAACAAAGGAGTGGAATTTTGTTGAATGTATCAGCGCTTTTCAGGCTTCCTTTGCGTACTCGTACTGTGCACTAATACAATCTGTGAAAATAAATGAAAATATATAACTTGTACAAGAAATCTACCAAACGCCATGAGAACCATAATCTACTTTATGGTTTCCCTGACTTCTTAAATTATTAGTGGTTATGGTTTTCATGCAAATCTTAAATGTTTATTCGTCCGAGTTTGTGAAACACAGGTTATGTATGCCTTTGTAATGCGCCCCGAGAGCTTGCCGAAATCCTATCAAGAATTCATTCAGAAGACCGGACCAGTTGCAGAGCCTGTATACAGGGCTGTAAGAGATAGCTGTAGGGGTCATCCAGTTGATGTTGCTTCACTACACACCTACTTATCTCGCAAAGGAAAATCTGACTATGTGAAGTTGGAAGAATTTCCTTCTATTATTCCTTGTTCCATCATTCACGCAGGAACAAATTCATGTTTAGCTCACGAAGTAAATGCAACATCAGCAACCTTCAAGAAAACTTTCCCACTTTACTTCTCTCTGACCTTTGTGCCATTTGTTGTTCTGCACCTACAAAAGGTACTCCCCTATCAAACTATTTGTGTTACTTGTACATTTGCAAATTGAATACTTGCAAAGATTAGCAATAAAAAAGTCTTCTGTAAAAGAAATATATGCATAACTTTAATGCCTGTGATTCACACTCTGGAAGCAGTGCCAAGTTGTTAAGTAGCTGCTACAGAGGTGCTATAGCACTATAGAATAGTGAAATTTGGACAAACCTCTATTGTTCTAATATATGCTATTTAGTACTAAATGTTGTCAAGTAGAGACGCAATAGCTGCACTATAGCACTACTGCATAACGGAATTTTAACAACCCTTTATTTTCATCTATCTGCAATTTACTACGTTGTCTGGAAGATTACCACAACTAATGTCTTGTTGCTAGGTTCCATATTTTCTTGTGACAATTTCTGATAGAATTCACTATGTGTCTAATGAATTTCATGTTTGGAATTTTATCATACCTTTCCATGCAATTCAATCTGAGATTCTGAGTATAATGACAAAGGGCTTCTAAAGGTTCAATACTAATTCATAGTTTCTTATCAATGGTTTTTAAGGGTCTCCATATCTCTATACTTCTATAATGCACTTCTCAAGGTGCCTCCATTGTCACAATATGATTAGAGTTTAGGGAGTCTAAATTTTATTATTTATTGTTAAAGAGTCCTACATTGGATGAGATATTGATCAAACAAATTATTTATATAAGTGAAAGACATCCCTTACTTTATAAGCCGATTTTCTAGGGTTGAATTAGGCCCTACCTAAAGTTTAAGATAGCATTAGAGTCTATCCAAGATTTGTTAGACCACCTGCTAATGGGCCGCTTGGGTCATGTTCAAGATGTCTAACCCTGGGCATGTATGAGCCTTACGAGTTTCACATTGGATGACATATGGCATGAAAAAGTGTTTTTAAGTGGGATACATCTCTCACCTTACAAACTAGTTTTTAAATTGTTCAGTTAGACCCAAACCATTTTTTAAGAATTCACTTATAGTCTGAGGGTTTCATATGTTTTTTTTCTATCATCAATTGAGTGATTTTCTTAAATCATACCCAAAATGTCATCATGTGGATTTAAAGGATGATATGAATATTGTACTGACATATTGCGAAGATAGAGTAGTTTTTGTGTTATGAATGAAAAGATAATGTCACTGATAACTATTGTACACATGTTGTCTTTCAGTGTGCAATTACCAATGCCACAACTTCTATCGCTGCAATTCCCATAACTTCTGTCATGACCATTGTTATTTTGAACATTTTAATCTGATTAGAAAGGTTGTTTTTTCAGTTCACTGATGCTCCTTTCCACACTTTCTGGGTTGCCATTAAAGGAGCTGTTCGTTCAACAGCTTTTTTGTCTGCTTTTGTTGGAATCTTTCAGGTATATGGTTTTCCTTGTTATTTACATGTTTAATACATCAAAATAATATTAATAATATTTCTAATGTCTTTTTGGTTTTGTAGGGAGTCATATGTTTGCATAGAAAACTTTCTTCAAGAGATCACAAACTTGTGTATTGGATAGCAGGTGGAATATCTGCCCTTTCAGTGCTATTGGAGAAAAAAGCAAGGCGGGGTGAGCTAGCGTTATATGTTCTTCCCCGATCAGTAGATTCATTATGGTATATCTTGGCGAACAGGCACCTGCTTCCAAAAATTAGGAATGCTGAGGTATTTCATTTTGCTACTCTGCACTGAATTAAAAGAAGCAATTCTCTTGTCATTTTATAGCACACACACATGTTTCTAAAACTCTAGTGACAAACTTACTTATCATGAAATTTATGTCTATTTTACCGTTGAGGTTTTTAGCTCCAATGTCCGTCTACAACTCCATATAATCAGAGAATGAGAATTTAATGGTAGGAGATGTAAGAAATACTGATAGTAGTTAAGACTCTAATGGAACTAATACTCCATCGATCTTGCATAAGGGTTTCTCTTTTATGGTCGAGGAGATTGAATTATAGCCTTGTATGGCTGACTGTAGAAATCATCTAATTTTATGCTTTTGGCGGGTATAGGTCTTTTTGTTTTCTCTCTGCATGGGAGGGATCATGTATTACTTGGAGTACGAGCCAGAAACCATGGCCCCATTTCTTAGGGGCCTGATCCGCCGCTTCCTTGCCAGCAGAATTAGCAGTCCAAGCCTGCCGTCTAATCAAACTGCTTCTCAAACTCCGTCTCAAGCTACGCCTTACGCATACCTACAAGCTCAAGATGGCATCACGACACCGAAATTACGAGAGAGAAGGGACAGCGAATCTTATGAGAAGTTCAATCTTGAGTCTATTCCCGGGCTTTGACTTTGGATTTTGAGTTTTTTCTCTGAAGGGGGGTTCTTGGAGCAGGGAACCGTCTCTCTGAACTTTGGGTCTTTTCTCTGAAAAAGGGAACCGCCTCTCTGAACTTTTATTTATTTTAGGTTATAGGATACTCTTCCTGGTATTCAATCATTTCAGCTTAGCTATGCCATGCCAACTACGAGTTTGATATTTAGGGAACTGGATTCTATATTAATATCTCACCATTGACTCCGCATTTTTTTATTGGATGGCTCGTGAAGTTGTTCTTGATGTTCAGGTGGATTGTAATTTATCAAACGTTATTAAGTGCTTGGTTGTTTAGTGTAGGAATAAAAGTTTTTGGTCCGTATTTTTTTCCCTTTGATTTCAACTCTTTCTAAAGTATTGTTTTCTATCTCTATAGGATGTGCGAATTTTATTTCAGGTCCCTATGAAGTTAAATATAACTAATTTTATATCTAAAAAGTCTATGAATAGTCACATGTGAACATGGCAATCACGTCTCATACATTTATCAAATTGTTCTAAGATGATTTAGTGGCATCTTGTTAAAACAATATAATTCTGGAGTTGATTTATTTCACAGAAATAATTTATAGGAAATAAAGTTAATTAGTTTTAGAGGAACTAAAAATATATTTATCACTTTCCATTCACATAAAAAGACTACAAAAAAGCCTCGAAATGAAAGAGTGAAATGTTCTCTCTGGTCCCGATACTACCTTTTATAGTTAAAACTAAGATCTGATTAGGAGAAAGAATCTTAAAATATTCACAGCCTGATCTAAGATTGTTTTCTGTAGTTTACTCTGCAATTAAAGGTGCAGAGTTACCTCCTAAGCAAAATATAAAGAAGCAAAATTTCCATACCTTCCAAGGAGCTAATTAATAAGTCGTTTAAATACAGCTCATGCATAAATAGAAAGGTTTCTTAAATCTATTACAAATTGGAATCTAACAAACTTGCAATAAGTTGTAAAAAAAAAAAAAAACTTGCAATGAGTTAGGATTTTTTAGATCTTTTCTCCACTAGCAATCAAAATAGTCACATAATCCTCCAACCTTTTAGGAAACTGATTGTTCTTTGTTTTTGGCCTTGCTCTTTTTTATTTTCCGTAATGGGCCTATATCTTCACTATTGAGCCTTCCCATGTCAATACTTCCCCCAACAAAATCAACCTTGTCTTCAATGTTGTAATCACGACACAAATCCTCCATTTTCCCATGAAGTATCATCGGGCGATAGTCCCTACCACTGCACCAGAGTGAAACGCGTGGGGATGCCGTCAATTGTCGGCGTCTGAAATTTCAATACAACCAAAGGAGTAACTACAACTGAAATTTCAATACAACCAAAGGAGTAACCACAAGGAGATTGTCAATTGAGTCATGTGGAATTTGATCAATAACAACAGCATGATGTAATCCCACATGTGGCTTCAAAAGAGGTGTGAAATATATTATGGACGCGAGAATGAATGGGTAATTCTATCTTGCAAGCCATAGGACCAACTTTGGCTAAAACTAAATAAGGACCATAATACCGTTTAGAAAGCTTATGGTATTTGGTGCCAGCTAACGAAACTTGACGGTAACTTTACGTATGCCCAAGATCACACCGCAAATTCAGCCTCACGACGGTGTTTATCCGCATTTCGTTTCATTTGCAATTGAGCCTTACTCAAATTCTTGCGCAACAAGTTAAGAATTTCGTTACTTGAAATCAAAACAGAATCACAAGCATCAATCGAAGAGGACCCAGGTATGTAAGACGAACTCGAATGAGGCAATTTTCCAAACACCACTTGAAAGGTGGATAAACCAGATGCAGTATGAACAAAAGTGTTGTAATGGTATTCAACCCAAGGAAGCTGAGAGGCCCACTGGGAGGGTTTAACATGCACAAAGGATCGGAAATGCTATCTCACAATGCGATTCATAACCTCTGTTTGTCTGTCGGTCTGGGGTTGATATGCCGAACTCATCCGCAATAGGGTACCACTGAATGTAAAGAGCTCCTTCCAAAATCTACGGATGAAAATCGGATCACGGTCAGAAATGATACTCTTAGGGAGGCCAGGGTGTTTACGGACAATGGAAACATACAATTCCGCTAATAAATACGTAGTGAACCCAGTGGCAATTGATAACTCTTGTTTTAATTCTTCCAAGACTAAAACACGAGGGACAGTCAGGTGGAAAAAACTGGAATATGTCGGTCTAGTGACACAAGAGAGAGCATCAACGGCAATGTTAGTGGAACCTGGTTTCTATTGGATTTCATAGTTGTACCCGAGTAATTTGGAGAAATATCGTTGTTGTTCAGGTGTTTGAATGACTTAAGTTAACAGTTCCCTCAAACTTTTATGATCCATTTGGATGATGAAAAAATGACCAGAAGATATTGACGCCAACTCTTTATAACACTAGTGATTGTGTGAAGCTCGCGAATATATGTGGAAGCCTTAGCCGTTCGTGGACAAAAATCCCTGCTAAAGAAGGCTAAAGGATGTCCCTCCTGTAAAAGGACTGCATCCATGGCAAACCCTGAAACATCAGTTTGAAGGACAAAAGGTGAAGCGAAATCCAGAAGGGCGAGAACAGGCGCAGAAACCATAGCTTGCTTAAGCTTATTGAAGGCTAACCGTGCTTCCTCACTCCACTTTTCAGTACTCGGGATAACGACATGGTAATGGAAGCATACCCTTTAGTAAACTTACGATGATATCCGGACAAGCCTAAATTCTCTCAAAGTTTTTAAAGTTTTTGGTACTGGCCACTCAAGAATGGCTTTGCTTTTCTTAGGGTTGGGAGCCACAATGCCATTCGCTACAATATGACCAAAATACGTAATGGTAGTTTGCCCAAATGAACACTTAGAAGCTTTTAAGAAGAACCGCCCAAATGAACACTTAGAAGCTTTTAAGAAGAACCGATGCTCCGATAGTAAGGAAAAAACATGCTCAAGATGAACTTGATGTTGCTCTACGATATCAATAAAAACAAGAATGTCATCAAAAAACACGATGACAGTCCTACAGTGCAGGGGACAGAAGATGTCATTCATTGTTGCTTCAAATGTAGCTGACTAGCTGGTGCATTGCAAAGGCCATACAACATGACTTTGTACTCATAATCGCCATCGTGCGTCCGAAATGCAGTCTTGGGACTATCTTGAGGTTGTAAACGGATTTGATGAAACCTTGAAGTGAGGTCTAACTTGAAAAAACTCTTGCTGGATCAAGTTCGTCCAAAAGCTCGTCAACTGTGAGTGAAGGAAAATGATCCTTCACGATGATTGCATTTAAGGCACGATAATCCACACACATGCGCCAAGTTCCATCCTTTTTCTTGAGGAGGAGCACCGGAGATGAAAAGGGACTATTTATCGGTTGAATCCAACCATTTACCAACAGTTTGTGAATTTGTGTCTTAATTTCTTGTTTTTGCGCATGCGGATAACGATACAGCCGCACATTGACTGGAGCAACATTAGTATTGAGAGGGATTTGATGATCAATAAAATGGGATGGTTGAAGGGACTTAGGTTCTTCAAACAACGGAGTGAAACAATGGAGGATGTCGATAATTTGGGGCTAAGATGCTCAGATGAGGGCAAGGTAGAAGATGAATTCTCTCCTGGACCAATAATGTGAAGAGAGAAAATTTGGGCCGTGGGTTCATGTTGCACAATCCCTTGTGTACCATGCTGAAATTTCATAGTAAAAGATTGTGGGGATTTCTTATCCCACCCATCGGAGTTTAATCACCAATACGCGTTTCTTTAAATGTCTTTAGATTATATTTCTGAAAGTATATTTTTTACTCAATGTGGATTTTTTTGGAAATACATCTTCGGAATCACCATAAAATACGTATTTTATTTGTTTTTGAGTCAGCCCCCAAGTTTACAAATAAATTGTTTTCGAAAATATCTTCGGAAACAATTTATTTGTAAATTTGGGGGTCTGACTCAAAAAACGAATAAAATGTGTTTTATGGTGATTTCGGAGATGTATCTCCAGAAAAATCCAACATTAAGTTAAAAAAGGTGTGTCTGAAGATATATCTCCGGAACCTGAGGGTATTTTAGAAAATGCGCATGGTGGCTAATAATTCCAAGGGGTGGATAAGAAACTCTCAAAAATTGATAGTCTATTAAAACTGGGCTTAACACTTTGAGCCATGGGGTACCCAAAACAATGTCTGGCCCACTGAAAAAAGTTATAGGTATTATTTAAATTATTAATAAGACTTATTGACTTCATCTATCTAATTAGCAATATTTGCTCCATCAAGAGCAAAAAAAATCAACATTGATGGCTTGCTCTGTGTTACGGGAAACCACTGAACTCAATGCTCCAAATAAAGATTAGGAAGATTTCAAAGCGAGAAATACAAAAAAAGAAGTAAAAGTTACGGGAAACCACTGAACTCAATGCTCCAAATAAAGATTAGGAAGATTTCAAAGCGAGAAATACAAAAAAAGAAGTAAAAGATGGTGGAAAGAAAATAGTGATTGGGGAGGGAGAAAAGAGTCCAACCCTACAAATGAAGGAATGCTGAAGTGGTCTTATAAGGCCATGGTGATGGGGAATAACAAAAATATTGTCATGGAAGATGCAGAGAATGATGGGGAAGAAGAAAAGGAATTAACAATCCTAAATTTGGAGAATATGAAAGTTGAAGAGCATGCTGAAGAGAATTATGCATGTCCAAAATTCATCTTTCCCAAACATGAGGAGATAAGGATCCATAGGCCATGGTGGAAAGGTGTTATAGCCAAATTGCTTGATAGGAGAATTATCTATAAGGCAATGGAAATAAGGCTGAATCAAATGTGGGTCAAGAAAGGGGTAATCAATATCATTGATCTGAGCAATAATTACTATTCAGTGATATTTTCGCATGAGGATGATCACAACATGGCACCTGGCAAATGGGCCATGGTTTATCTATGACCATTACGTTAGGGTGAAAAAGTGGAGTCCATATTTTCATCCAGGAAGCGATACCATTGAAATGTGGCAGTGTCAGTTCGGATAGCTAGCCTCTCAAATGAATATTATGATACAAAGTATGCTAGAATTGGTAACTATTAGTTAGACGGTTAAGGTGGATAAAAACACCTTATCTCAAGAAAGAGAGTGTGGTGGTAGGAATAAAAAAAAAGTCGTATTTAAAGCACCTGGGATCCAGAAAAAAGGAGTGAGCCATATTGCGAAAATTATGGGACACAAAAATATTGAAGATTAGATTTCTAATATGGCATGTGTTAGAATAATAGAAAGAGAAAATTGGGCCACCTCAAAGAATGATAAAAAAAATGGAAAAATCGAGGACTACAAGTATAAACGAGGATCAAAATAGCATGAATGACCAAGAGAGTTTAAAAGAACCAAATATTCCTAGACCTCCAGATGGGGAGCAAAAGATTAGCTTGAATGATAACATCAAACAAAACAAGCCATATGAGGATCATCAAGCCAATAGCAGAGACGAGATTTGCAAGGAGAATGGAAGTGAGCCAATGCAGTAATGGTTGGGTAGCTGGTATTGTTAGACTTACCCTTGACACAAGTTTCATGATGATTTCACAACAAGATATAATTTGGAACTGCAGAGGTGTAGCCAATAAAAGTTTTTTTTCTTCAAATTAGTACATAAGCTTGTCGCTACGCGAAAAATGACACAGAGTCGCCACCGGATTTTATTTATCCCAAGGAGGAAAAAGGAAATAACGATAAAACCTTTAGGGAAAGAGCATGGTCATCGCAACCAAGTTTTAGGGTTCGGGAGTCGGTTATGCGAGGGGAAGGTATTAGCACCCCCTCAAATCCATCGTACTCGATGGGAATCTTCTAGGTTGTTTAGTTTGAATGAGTGTTTTAATCTAAAAGTTTGCTTGCTTAAAAGAAAAGAGAGGTTGGTTTTTAATTAGAGTGCTCGCCAAGGATTGTGACCCTTGTGCCTTCGTATCCTCACTTAAAAGAAGTGAAAAATCAGAGCTCCGTCGTCCGGAGACTTGTGAAATGGTTGTTTGTTGGTTGATTTTATACCTTGAAAAGGGGTTTTCGGATTGATGCCCTAAGGCGAAAAGAAGTTTGATGAGTTGATGTTATTTTTAGGTTTTTGGGAAGAAATTTTTTTTAATTTAGGATCACAGTAGAGACTTTGGATAGCGATGAATGTTTCGAATAACCAAGTCGAGCGCCTTGTATTCAAAACATTCGGAACGAGTGTAGGAGGGGTTCCATTCTCATTCCTTCTCCACCACTTTAAAGCTCATGGCGTGTAAGCCCAATTGTATCTTTATTGTTTTTTTGGATTTTTTATGAGAAAAATACCACTTGATGCTGGATCAAGGTTTTTATTGCTTGTAAAAATATTTGAAGTGATGCGAACAAGGTTGATGGCGACGCACAAGGCGATCGACTTACAAGGGTGAAAATGGCTCGATGAAATCGAGAGTTTATTTTTTGAAAATAGTTTTTGGAACTAAAAGTAAAAAATGACCATAATAATATCCACATACAATGGCCATACAACCACATCAGATTAATCGGTTTGAAAATATGAATAAGAACAAGACATGAAAAAAAAAAACGGCATGAAAACTACGAAACAACATGAAATGAGACATCCCATTTCACGTGTGAATGGGATATGTCGAAAAAATGGGAGAAATAGCAACAAAAAAAAAGAAAAAACAGGGGCCTGACATAGCCGACCGTGTCAGGAAGTGTCCATAGCATGAACTTTGGAGGTAAAACAGGGAGCTGACACGGCCGCCCGTGTCAGCACTCCTGGGAGATGCGCGCGATGGAGGTTAAAACAGCAGGCTGACATAGCCGCCCGTGTCAGCTGACACGGCCCGTGTCAGCCCTGCTGGGTGAAAAAACTAAACTATGTCCTTTTTTCTTTTCCTTTCTTGTGGTTCTTACAAAAGTTCTTAGTCCCTCTTGGGACCTTACACAATGTATACAACACAAAAATCACTTAAAAGAGAAAATAAAAGGCAATGCAAAATATGTAAAGAGAGAAGAGTTTGAAAGAAAAGATAGCCAAGAGTTACTATTCTCCTTCAAATCACCAATGACTTTTGTTGGATGTGCTTTATAATTCACTTCCTTTTCTAGTTTTTTTATCCCTCTCTTATTCTCTCAATTTTTCTCAATGTTTCTCTTTCTCTCTTATTTTTCTGGGTTTTTTTTATGGTTCTCTTGTGTTTTTTCTAACTCTCTTGATTTTTCTGGTTTTTTTATGGTTCTCTTGTGTTTTTTCTAACTCTCTTGATTTTTATGGTTTTTCTCTCTATCTCTTGCTCTACCTCCCCCTCTTGTTTGTTGTTGCTCCCTCTTTTTTTAAAACTCAACACTTTAGGGTTTTCACTTGTTTCAAAACCTCATATTTTTCATTGAGAAATGCCTCTTACCACTTTCTTGATGTTACTCTCTTTCTTTCTATTTTCATGAATCTTACTTTGCTGCATTTTTGCTGCTACACTTGCCTAGCCTGTCTTTTTCTGTTGCACTTTATATTGCTCTCAAATCTTGTACCCATTTGTTAGCTTGTGCTTGGACTGCCCTTGTGGTCAATGTTACTACCTTTGACAGAATTTTGAAATTCTGATATTTGATGTGTAGATGCATCACCATGAGTTCATTCCCTTGGTTTTGTGACATGAATTGTTTGGTTATGAGGCAATTTGTCACTTCTTGCATGGGACTGTTTTGGATTACATTAAAATTGCCCATGATTAAGCATGCGTAGTCTTGATCTTGAAATATTCCAATGTTAAGTTGAATCTTAATTGTTTTCCTTGGATGTTTGTAGGCATAATGAGGAACATGTGGACTTGATGGGGCATGAAGGGTACCATAGCATGAAGTTGATTAGAAACTTGAATTAAGATTAGAAATATCTTAATTACTTAGAGTTAGAAACTTTGTAACAAATGTGACATTCTTGCAATGTCATGAAATTTCTCTTTGTAATATTCTTGAATCTAATCTTGAATTCATGAATCTTGAAATTGGAATGATGAGTCCTGAATTATGAATTTGTGATCTTTACTTATGTCTTGCAAATTTGAATTTCCCTTGATCATAGAATTTAAAACAAAGTTGGATGAAGAAACCTTGAATTAGACCTTGCACTTCATGTTCATTAGGAACATTGACCTTGAATACCTCAATATTTTCAACTAACTTCTCCTTGAAGAAATCTACATGAGTAGACTTTCCAACTTGAACCAATCTTAGATGGGTGAACTTTTTTCTTCCATATAACCCATGATAGAAAATTTATCTTATTTGGAATGGAAAACAACGAACTGACCCAATCCTTACCTTGTGAAATCACATGCTCGATATGCAATAGAACGATGTATGATATGACGAACGTAGGGTATGGATGGTTAAAGGTGAAAATGAGGGGTGTGACAAAGCTCTCACAAGCCTAAGTTGATTGCTATTTTGGAAACTAGGTGCCAACCTTCAAAGCTCCAAAAGACATTCACCAAGATGGATTGTAATGTTTTTTCTCGAATGACAATCAAGGGATATGCTGGAGGAATTATTGTTGCTTGGTAGAGGAAAAGGTGAAGATTACCTTAGTTCATAATAGTTTCCAAAACATTCACTTTATGGTTCAACCTACACATAGGACCAAATTGGTTTTTTACTCATATCTATGTTATCCCTAATGTGTATGTGGAATGAGCTGGCATGAGGTTAGTGCTGAACATGAGTTACGTGTGGCTATTGGCAGGTGACTTTTAACGATACTGCATTTGCGCATGAAAAAAAAGGAGGAGCTGTCATTTGTCAACGTAAATGCAAGCGATTTAGGGATAATATGGAAAAATATGGCCTCATGACATGGGAGTTGTGTGAGCAAGGTTTACTTGGAGCGACCCTATATTCAATGGAGGACAGCGCATCTATGAGAGACTTGAAATAACTCTTTTGTAATGAGGAGTGGAAATTGAGATTCCCCTGATGGATTTTGTTAAAGTTCTCCCCAAACTAGAATTTTTTGACCATCACTCTATTCTTATTTGTCTGCATAGAGTTGTTAAAAAGAGTGTTAACTCGTGCTTTCGATTTGAGAGTGCACGGTTAATGGGTAAACTCATACCATCATATGGTGGAAAAAAGGTGGAAAATGAGATGCCTCTTGCCAAAAATCTTGAGAACATTAGAGATGGTGTTATGAAGTGAGAATTCAGCACTTTCAACAAAATAAAGAAGAGAAAGATAGAGATCATTGAAGAAATAAGAAGGAATCCAAAGTGTGCTCAAGTAGAAAGCATCTTAGAGGTCTGCAAATAGTTGAGAATATGTTGCAACAGGAGATGAGTGATCTTCTAAAAAATGAAGTGTTGATGTGGTTTCAAAGATCCAGAGCAAATGGATTACTGATGGTGATCGTAATACAAGATATTATCACCTCAAGACTATGTATCGAAGAAGGAAACATAGAATGGTGATGATTAAAAAAATGATGGGCAGTGGATTAAGGATGAAGAACAAGTTTTTCAGTTGTTCAGGGATCATTATAAAAAAATGTTTGCCATCGAATCCATTTGGTATGTAGTGGGAGACAACGTGAAATACCTTCTCTTGTATTGATCAAGGCACACTCGAAAATATGGGAAAGAGGAAATGAAAGAGAGTGGTTTGGAGGCTTTTCAAAGCACATAGGAGTGTGTGATGTCTATACAGTTGAGATGTGGGGAGTTTTAGAAGGCCTTAATACTTGCAACAAGTTTGGGTTTCTCTAAAATTGATATTTGTGTGGATTCTAGTCAGGTAGCCAATGAAATTAATTCTAGCCACACTAGCAATGCCACACGTGGAAGTCTTGTTGTCAGGTTCTGTCTTTTCTTCAACAGGATAAAGATATTCGAGTTAGTCATGCATATCGGGAATCTAATCGGTGTGCTGATGCTCTTGCA